CACCAAATATAATGTTTAATTTTATATGTCAACTTGACTAGGCTATGGGCTGTGGTAAAACATTATTCTGAGTGTGACTGTAGGGGTGTTTAAGATTAATATTTAAATTAAGTAGCCGATGGCTCTCCCTAACATAGGAGGTTCTCATCCAATCAGTTGAAAGCCTGAATCGAACAAAAAGGCTGACCCTCTTCTGAGGAAGGGGGAATGCCTCCTGCCTGACTGCTTTGAGCTAAGATACTGGTGTTTCTGGTCTTCAGACTTGAACTGAAACATCATTTATTTGAGCTTCTAGCTTGCCAGCTTTTGGACTGGAACTAAATCATGAAGTCTTCTGCGTCTCCAGCTTGCCAACTGAAGATTTTGGGACTTCTCAGCCTCCATAATTGTATGAGCCAATTCCATAATTCCACACCTATGTGCACGCACACACACACACACACACAATCAGGTGCTGTTTAACAACAGAATACATTCTGAGAAAGGTGTCAGGTGATTTGGCCATCATGCAAACATCGAAGTATATACTTACACAACCCTAGATGGTATAGCCTACTACACAAATAGGCTATATGGTGTAACCTATTTTCCTAGGCTACAAACCTGTATAACATGTTTTAATTGCCTACAGTATTCAGTACACAATGGTATATATCAGTGTATCTAAAAAAGGTACATTAAAAATATAGGATTATATTCTTATGGGACCACTGCCATATATATCGTTGAGGTTTTTAGTTGATTTTGTTTATTTGTTTTTAGTTAGTGGTATGAATTGGAATGCAGTCTGTGGTTGACCGAAACATCATGATGTGGCGCATGACACGGTATATCCTGATGGTTTTGTTTCTCTGGAGAGCCTGGACTAATACAGTGTCTATCAAAGATGATTAATAGAAGTTGCTCCAATCTGAAGGTGCTGGATTTCATGTATTCTGCACCATGATAAATTAGGTTTTTTTCTAAATGCAAGGAATATCTTAGAGGGAATAGATTTACAGTAAGCCTTCAATTTTGACAGACATTTCGCAAAACTTGGGGAAGATTTCTATATAGACAAAAAGAGTAGCCTGAGGCAAAGCATGGGGCAGGAGAGTGGCAGGCGGATAGAGATGTACAATTGGGAGTAACAGCTAATAACAGCCAACACTTATGGACCACATTAAATGAAACTGGAGCAAGTCAGAGAGATTTGCTGACCACTTATTGTTTGGCACAGGCCAGGAGATCCAAAGTCTGTAGATGAGGAGGCATTTGAGCTGGTTCCTGATCTCCTGGTCTAAAGGGACACTCTCTTTGAGCTATTCATGAGTTGGTATAGGCAAAGCTGCTATTTTTTTTCACATGCTGTGGCTTAAATAAGAAAGAAGTCTATTTGTCTGTCTTGTAACAGTGCAAGGGAGGCAGGGTTATTTTGTCATCCTTAATCTTAGGCTTTCATCCTTGATTCCAAGGCATTTGTTTCCGTTCTTATCATTTCCCAGACAGGGTGAAGGGGGTAAGAACAAGCTGAGTTCATACCTTTCCCTTCTGAGATCCTGAGCTGGAAGTGGCACATATTATTTATGCTCATATATTGACCAGAATTAAATCCCATGGCCGCACTTTACTGCAGGGGTGGCTGGGTGGCTGTGCACTCAACTAAAATGCACTGACTTTGGAATCATAAGATACAATAATAAAACAAGTAAGCAGTATGCTACTTGAGTGACTCCAAGTTTTCTACATGTTATGCCAGGTCCATTGCTAAGCAGTGGACTACATGAATGTGGGACGGATTCTTCCATTCAGGAATTATAGCAGTCTGCAGAGGACATGGAATATGTGCACAAGTGTTTGTAATAATCAGAAAGGATGTGACCACCATCGGATGGAAGGAAAATGTAATACTTTAAGAGCTTGTAGCCAACTCATTGTCCTACAGGATCTGTTGTCTACTAATTCTAAAGTCATTGCATCCCACCTTTATGTACTCCACTGCCTGGCAATGGGCCTGGCATATCACCCAGGAAACTTAGAAAGTCACTTACATAGCGTACTGTTTAATTGTTGTTCCATTGTTATATCTTATGAAATGCAGCATCTATGATGTGTACCCAAAGAGACACACATTGGATGTGTATACACATATATAAATAGATAAGCAATGTAAATAATTTTTCTGAAGTCCTCCCATTTTGTTGGTTCTAAACTCTGCAACCTAAACAAACAATATGTTATGCTTCTGTCTTCTCAAGCAGAAAAAAAAATAAAAATAAAAAAAAGTTCTTCCTTGTAGTTAAGGATGAATATTAACAAAGGAACTTGGGGAAAGTGGACCTGCTTAAACTTTTTTGCCTTTCATTTTTTTCTCTCCCACTTCTGGCCCCTTAAATGGCTCTGCTCTGATAGGCTGCATGGTGCAGATGTGTGGGAGGGTATGCTGCACCCCAACATGGGCCAGGAGAGACAGAGGGGATGTGCATAGGTGATCCCCTCCCTCCAGCCTTTTGTTTTTCAGTTAAACTTCAGAAGCTGATGTTCCACTTTGGAAACTCGATTTAAGTATGGGCTACTCTGCATGCTGTCTGACAATGGAGAGGATTCAAAGTAATAGGGCTTAAAACACCTTGGGTAGCCCCACAAAACGCTACCGGAGAGGCTGTCAGAGATGCTGGGGAATCATGGAGAAAAATGAGTGGTGTTAAGCATGATACATATTTTCAGGTCACTCGTCAATCTAAAATCTTTCAAAGCTTATTGGGACTCTTGGGATAAAGTCCCAAATCCTTGTCGTTGCTCTCAGGACCCTCCATGGACTAACTGTCTACTTCTCCAGCCACATCCAAGATGACTCTCCTTCATGTCAGCGCCCCAGTCACTCTTCACTGTCATTCTTCAGATGTGACTGACTCTCCTGCTGAGTCCTTCCTCCTTAGAGGTTTTGTGCAAACGGTTCTTCTGTCATGAACAGCTTTCTGCTGCAACCTTCACCCAGCCACAATTCCAACACGTTCTCCTCTGCTCCTCAAACTTGGTTAGTGCATTTTTTTTTAACAGCACCTTTTATTTTCCTTTTCTGAGCACTTATCATCCTTCAGCAGCTTGTTCACTGAGTTTCCATTAGACCATAAACGCCTTAGGGGCAGACACCATATCTTTCTCATTCATCCCACAAACGCCATGCCTATCCCAGTGCCGACGGACTCCAGCCCCTTGAGAAATATCTGTTAAAGAACTAAATGTCTCGATGCATTTAAAGATAATTCTCTGGGCTGACTGGGTGGTGCTACTAGAAATGTGAGAACTGAATGAGGCTCTTCCTGCCTCATCTCTTGCAAGTCCAGCCAGGAAGTGGGAGGTTGGAAGGGCAGGCATTATAGATGTGGATTCTGGATGAGGAATCTCAGCCAGGGAGTCAGGCCAGGACTCTCGCTGTGACATAGGAACATTTTCAAGGGAAGTGACCCTCTGCTGGAACTCCTCGGTTCCAAGGTGGTCATTAACTTGGAATTGTTATGCAGTGTGAATAATTTGCCTGTGGAAAAAATTTAGCACCAACAGTAGTGCTACTTTTGCCATTAAATTTCAACTGGAATCCTGACTCATCTCAGCCAGACTCAATTCAAACTGTGCCATTTCTGTAACATTAAAATAGAACCCATAGCCGCACCAGCAAAGCCCACCACTTAACAGAGAGAGGACCTTGGTACTTTCAAGGAAGGACCAATGGGAACCGGGGAAATCTAGAAATCGCCCCCCCCTACCCGGCACCCAACAAAACGCTGACTTGGGGAAAAATGTGGCTTAAATCCATGGGGATTGAGCCTCTATATCTGAATGGATTTAGTCTTCCAGGTTCATGCCATTTGGTCAATCTTCTCTAAATCATTTATTCACTCATTGAGTCACCATTCGAGTGCCTACTGTATACTACCCCAAGGACCAGTAATCAAAGTGAAATAACTGCTTCTATCCACAAATGCTTATTGTCTACTTGGAAAGACAGATATGGGAAAAATAAGCAGAACAAAGTCCTAGAGGAATGACAATATAACTTACAAATTCCAAGTGATACATCCAGCTGCTGCAGAAAAACATACCCTTAGAACTCAGGTGCAAACCCCTCTAAGTTAAGGCCTAAACCATCAGTTATCCTTTTTTTTTTTTTTTTTTTTTTTTTAACCTTTGGCACTTACTGTAGCTCAAGAGTTTTCAGTTTCCTGCATAACCTCAGCTCGCGAGGACTGTCCACTACTCCAAATTAGCAAGTAAAAATGCTAAGAAGTCATAACTCCATTCATTACAGCAAATGCTGTGACCTTTTAAAATAAGTACCTTACCTAGAAACTGAGCATTCTTAGTATTTTCAGAGTTCTTAGCAAATTATTTAATGTTATTTAAAGAAATGGTTTACATGACACCATTTCATGCCAATTCTGTTTCAGTGACTATAATCTCAGTGCTTTTATTTGAAAGAATCTATTCATAAGATTTCAACTTGACTTCTATTAACAGGAGGCATTCAGATGGAGTTTATCTAGAATAGATTCCAGCTACATTACTGATAACGATATTTTAATGATAATTTTATGAGGCATTCACTTACTTGTATAATTCTATCCAGATGACCATAATGAGCAGGACATAGATAAGCAAATGTTTTAGAGGGGCTCTAAATTACGGAATAGTGCAGGTCCTACTAGAAAGAAACATTATCCTTTTTGTTTTGCTTGGCATGAGCCTAGGAAGATGCAAACATACCTATTGCTGTTAGTGACAATGCTACCAGCAAATGCAGACCAATACTAAAAGATCTGAATTCTCCTCTCAGTTTGAGCACCTGTATTGATCCCTACCTGAGGCTACCTACACCTGACCTTGCATATAAGTAAGCCCCAAATTATATTTTATGTTCAAGTCTACAAATTAGGCTGAATATCACTTGCAGATAAAGGAGATCTAACTGATGCATTCTCACAAAAGGAAGAAGGTAGGAAGGAAGTGGTACACAGGACAAGTAAAAACCACTCTATATTTATTCATTATAGAACACACTTTTCTTTCCAGAAAGAAAACAAACAGTCTGAGGTATCCCACGTTCATAAATCCCATTCTACGGCTTTACATCCTGAATTTCTCTGTTGTTAATCAAGGTTTACTATCATTATACACAGTGATTAAAATTTTTCCCTGAGATCATCAAGGCTGTGCCTTTGACTATAGAAATACCGTACCCTACCAAAATTCAGGAGAAACCATAGAAAACTAAAAGTCTTTTTGGTGGTAGAAAAGGCAGATAACTTAGGCAGAATTCCTGAGAAAAAGATGCAGAGTCTTTAAGCCACCAGTTAAATTTTACCTGGCTGTGAACTGTTATCCCTTCTACATTTCTAAATACTCTGGAAGGAAAATTCATCTTATTGCATAGAAAGACACTTTTTCACAAGGCTATGCACAAAGCATCTTTGCTTTTGCTAGCTGCCACAGCCATCTTGATGCCTCAGTTTCCAGTAAAATTCAAAGCTTGAGAGGTACAGGCAGCCGTTCCCCAGTGACATATGGAAAAGAGAAAAAACCAGACATGGATGATGACGAAAAATGTGGTTGTCATATTATGTGTCCCCCTCAGACCTGTGATACTTCTCCAAATGGTCTGGCATCATAATAGCTACTGATCCTCCACAAGTAGGAATGAGGAACGACTTACTGGATTATCACCTCAAATCCCAGCCTAATCAGCTCCACAGGGCATAAGGCAAATGGCCACTGGCACATGTTGTCCAGTTTGGGTGCACCGAAAGTCAGCTCTGAATGGAATGCCACTTCCAGCAGCCCCTCCCAAGTTGGAACAAATCACAAGCTGCAAAAGAGCCAGCCTGCCCAAATAGTCATTATTAAATTGTGCTGTGTCCCTCTGCCCACCCATCCCCATAAAATTGCACAATGGAATGATTGTATTCCCTACTGAAGACTTCCCCTCCTAATAGTAAGCAAGCAAAGGTTTCCCTAGTCTGCCCCATATTGAATTGCAGAAGAAGGCAGCCCACCCCAAGATGTGGGGAGTAAGAAAGGAAGCAGGCGAGTGAGCTGGATGTCAGGCGAACATGCTTAGAAGGGACGTGGTAGAGTGTGTAGGCCTCCGAAGATGGAAACAGCAGGGGAAGGCTGAGCAGCGGTGGGTGGTGGCACTTCCAGAGACATCATCCCATGGATGCAATGTTCCCAATTCTCTTTCTTAGGTGTTCTTGAGGTAGTTCTGACAGGCTCTTGCCATGTCTTTCAAGAAGTTAGGAACTCCATTCTGCAAAGGAAATGAGACTGTCATTTCTGTGTCTTCACAGTGGTTACTCTTGATTCTTTGGGATGTGGCAGAAGGTAAACAATGTTGGCTTTAGGGCTAACAAAAATGAATAGGCTCCGTAACTGGATTTCAACAGAATGTTGTTGCAGATGATGACAAAAAGTAGGACCCAGGACAAAAGGAACACCAGTCAACAGGAACTTCAGTTGCAAAAAGGCCTTATATGTTAGCTTTCTCTAGGAAAAAGCAAAGACGTTTCTGAAACACTGTTTCTTGAAAAAAGAAAACACAAGAAATGGGGTTGGGCTGGACTGTTACATTCTTCCAAAGAAATGAGAGGAAGGACTTGCCTTACTGAATTAGAAAATGGTAAAGATTGGGGATCAAGGAGTAGGATATATGATTATTTAGTTCATGTTGAGCATTGGGCAAGACTTCTCCTGAATATTGTCTTATTTACTCCCCTTCTATGCAGTAGAAGACATCTATCTTCTTTTGTAAAAAGGAAGAAATGCATGGCTTCCTTAAATACAACAAGACAGTCAGTAGCAGAGCCAGGATTCAAAATTGCATCTGTTTGACTCCAAAGTTGATGTGCTTTTTCACTCTTCCAAGGAATCTGTTGACCTCTCAAGTAGTAGATCTCATGCAAAGCAGGCTGGTGGTCCCCATAATGCCAGGCTCCTGGGTAGTCTCTAGTGATACAAACTACCACTGCAGTTCCCTCCCTTATAGAAAAAAAAAAAAGGCAAAAACAACAAAAGTGGAAGCTTCCCTCAGGCTTGGACACATCTGGTTGTCTCCAAGCCAGGTCAGTGTGTCTTATTCCCCAATAAGCAGAGGAATATAGGCTCCAAAGGCACTATTGCTCCTACCAGGAGCAGACTATTGTCCAGAGGTTCCAAAGAGTGATTCTGGCGGGGTCTTGGGGCACAAGCAGGGAGAAGTTGGCATTCCAAGCTGACAATTCTTTGTCTTTTGTCCCAGCCTCCGTCTTGGATGTTGGCAACCCCCAGCCCTAACCAGAGTCACTCAACCAAACTCTTCATAAAGAGCCTCATTACGCCTGAGACAATGTGTCTCTTCAGCCTGACAGCCCCAAGGGCTAAGTCAACATTTGTCAAACACACTCCCCCATCCCTCCCGCCTGCCCCGCCTCCTGGGATCTCACCTTGGCAGCCCAGTTAATGAGCCAGGACGGAATTTGGCCACCCGGGTTATCGAAGTAATACATGAAAACTAGAGAGGGAAAGAAAAGACAATTCAGAAAAAGCAAAAATACCAGAAAAAATACAGCAACAAAACTGTGCAAACTTTATATCTTCATATTCAAGCTCAGAAACTGCAGAGGGAGGCGGCATATATTTCAGATGGACTTCTCTCCACCAACTTCGCTTACGGCATACTTAAATATAGGCACTTTTGAAAACATAGCCACAGACACATTTTGCTGCTATTGATTAAATACCTGGCAAGTGCTGGACACTTGAATATAGCCTCTCATTCAATTATTCTAGCAATCCTAAAGAGATGGTCAAATTAATCCCATTTTACAAATGATGAAACAGATACTCATGAAAATTAGGTGACATATTCAAGGTGACCATCTAACTATGGTTCAGATTTTTGCCTAGGACGCAAGGCCACACTCATTCTGGTAGAGCTGGTGGCCTCGCGCCCCACTCTCTGTCTGCAGCTTTCCTCCCTGGGGGCTGGAACTCAACCTGGGCAGGTGTTGAGTCTCTGAGTTTGTACTGAGCTGGAGCTGAGATCTCCAAGACAAACCTGATGGCTTTCTTGCCTACCCTTAGGCCCAGTGTATGCGTCCACAGGACCAGCTGGAATTGAATTTCTAAACTCTCTGGCTTACTTATAATGGTCTGGTTTCATCTGGACAATCCATGAATCTGGAGAAAATAGACTGGGTCAGAGTTAAACATCAACTTCATACTCTACTCAAGTTTGTTGGGGTGGAATGACGCCCTCTCTAGGTGCTGATCCTGGTCTGCTCTGCACCTGTGCCTGTCCTCTGACCTTTAAGGATATGCTTCATGTACTCAACATGCCCCTCCATCAGGCTGGGTGCACTGACAGGCACCATGGGTTTTACCTTTGCTCCCCTTCTTGCCGTCACTCTCGATCGCCAGGCTCTGCTTGTATTGCTTCACCCGGATCACCCCAGACCTCTCAACAAGCTGAGGCACGGAGGTGCTCTGGGCCAGGACCACATGGATCTTCCGCCCTTCCATGTCCAGGTCTCGCCGCTGCCGGAGGTAGACATACTGCATGGCCAGTCAAGGCAAGACACCAACGCCAGCATTGTAGACAGACAGAAGGAAAGCGCCACAAGCTGGAAGCAAAGGGAGGTAATTCTGTGCCTCCCACTTGGCATTTGCTCCCTTCTACTGCTAGTTCACTTACCTGCCCTGTCTCCCTACCTGCACTGCAAGACTATGCCTCACACCACCTAGTGTTCTCATCTAAGAGCATGCATTACTTACCTGTGAGTGGTCCCTTCATACTTTTAATTATGTGAGGAAACCACTTTTCCTTTCTCCAAGAAGGCACTAGGAGGTGACAGAGGAATGGTCACTTAACAGCTGTGTGGTCCTAGGTAAGCTACTCAGCCTTGCTGAGACTCAGATTCCCTATGTAGGAAAGGGAGTAACACTGCCTTCCAGACAGGCTTGGTGAGGCCATTAGAGAAAGACCTGGGCAGAATAAGCACTCAACAGAAAATGGTGTCATTCCTTTTTGTTCTGGCCCCACCCAATGCTCTAATTACTGACCTCTATGCATAGTAAATGATCAAGCAATGTTACAACTGATGACCACAGGAAGACATGGGACCACCTGAATATTTCATAGGCAGATGCCCTCTCTGGGCTAACACTAGTTCACCAAGAATAACAAAGCCATTTCATGTCCATCAGCCTTGACAGAAGAACCCTTAAGTTTACGGCACTATTCTAGGGAGGATAATGAAAGTCTATGACGCCACAGGAATCACTACTTATCGAGCCCTTATCATGTAACATCATGCACTTGACATACAGCTTAAATTTCGATCCGTACAAAGACCCTGTGAGTTTGTATGAGTATCCCCATACTACAGATGACAAAAGTGAGGCTCGGAGAGGAAAAGAACCTTGCCAAAAATCCCACATTCCAGCCGAAGTGATGAAACCTGAATTTTTATCCCAGATCTGGCTCCAAAACCTACTTAGAATTTCATAGCTGGATGAGGCTCAGATATTTAGTTTGTTAGTTACACTTTCATACAACAGAATTTTGGGTTTCACACTCAAAGGAATCAAAAACCTAAAAGAATCAAAAAGTCACTACGCACAACACAATGACACTTACTCTAACACAGCAGCCGTTTCAGCCCCCACCCACCTCAGTGTCCTTTTTTTTTTTTGAGATAGAGTCTCACCCAGACCGGAGTGGGGTGTCGCGATCTTGGTTCACTGCAACCTCCACCTCCTGGGTTCAAGTGATCCTCCCACCTCAGCCTCCGGAATAGCTGGGATTGCAGGCGCCCACCACATCCAGCTAATTTTTTTTTTTTTTTGTATTTTTAATAGAGACGGGGTTTCTCCATGTTGGCCAGGCTGATCTCGAACTCTGACATCAAGTGATCTGCCCACTTTGGACTCCCAAAGTGTTGGGATTACAGGCGTGAGTCACCGCGTTCAGCCCCACCTCAGTGTCTTGACAGCGCCCCCTGTTGCCCCACCCTCACACTGGACAGTCTCTCTCTCCATGCTCTTATGTACTGGTGAGTAAAGTTCTTAAATGTTTCAGGAAAGAGAAGATGTTGATTTGTCTCTGGGTTCCTTTCTCCTACACCTTTTAGTTTTTCCTTTTAGCAAATATTGTTCCACTCTCTCCCCCAACTTTCTCAGCTCATGTGATAGATATCATCTGATACTCCACGGAGGAAGAATTACCTTGATATAGTGATTCAAATTTGGCAGAACACCTTTGAAGGGTTGGCAGTTTATCTAATTCAGCGGCTTCCAAACTTTTTTTTTAACTCCACGAGACCCTTTGCTAAAAGGATCTTATATGGAAATTGAATCTGTAAAACACCTTGCTGCTGGGATTGAAGAGGATGGTGAAGGAGACAAAATCTTACCTAGGAGTCATCCTACCTCCATCCTACCCACTTCCAAAATTCCATCCTAGCCCCCCAGCTTAGTCCTAAGGGGGCTTCTCAAAACCTTACAGTGCCAGCCAAGCCTCCCTACATTTCATCCAACTGCTTCATTTCATAAACAAGGACATTGAGAGGAAGAAGCTTACAGTCAGTGTCTAGAGCCAGCAATCAAGGAGGGATTGCTGTGGGGTCTACTGAGATAGGGGAGGCGGAGAGAGCTGGAAATGCAGGGGCCTGAGTTCCAGCACCCACTCTGCCACTAACCACCTATGTGCCCCTGGGAGCCCTTTTTTTCCCTGTAGACTGAGGGAGCTGTATCAAGCACTCTTTCTAAAAAGTTCCTTCCAGGTCCCCAATTTTGTGGCCTGACAATTTCAAGGCCTAGGAAACTTCTTAGGAAAGTAAGAGCTGCTCTCCAGTGACCATAATTACAGACACCATGTGGTCGGGCCCAGAAATCACACTCTGAGCTCTCCAAACACCACACAAGAAGCAACATTAGCAGATGCTGCTGCAAGAATCAGAGACAATATTATCTGTGCCTGCTGAGAAACCAGCTCTACCTCTCTGCAATAGACTGCAATAGACACAGAAACACTTAGAAGGCCAGGGAATGAGTACCTTGTGGAAAGGATACGTCTCTGTTGGACATGGGAAAAGGGTACTTCACTTCCCAGTAGACCACAGTCTGTCCATTGCATTCTTGTTCATAGAGTTCTAAAGGAGAGCAAAAGAAGTTAATGCATCTGGAAGCCGTTTTAGCTACAACTAATAAGATGACCTCTTAGGCCAAGCACAGTGGCTCATGCCTGTAATCCCAGCACTTTTTGAGGCCAAGGTAAGTGGATTGCTTAAGTCCAGGAGTTCAAGACCAGCCTGGGCAATATGGTGAAACCCCATCTCTCTCTAAAACAAAAAAAAAAGCAAAAAAATCAGCCAGGCATGGTGGTGCATGTCTGTAGTCCCAGCTACTCTAGAGGCTGAGGTAGGAGGATCATCTAAGCCTAGGAGGTCAAAGTTGCAGTGAGCCAAGCCATGACTGCACCACTGCACTCCAGCCTGGGTGACAGAATGACACCATGTCTCAAGAAAAAAAAAAAAAAAAAAGATAACCTCTTAGGGTATGATAAACCACTAACTCATAAGGTATAAAATTCTAGAAATAAGTCAAACCGATTAATTTGCACTGAAAACTTATTGCCTAAGAAGCCAACAAATCTTGTCCATTCTATAGCATAAATAATATTCTTGATAGAATGCAATGAAATAAAATCAGACATCAAAAAAATAGTCAGAGGTTTAAAATTCAGGATAACCACCAGATGTCACTAGAGTACCAATAGTTTTGCTTCTGAGCCCTTTAATTCCCCTTTAGGATTCCTTGACCCATTACAGCTAACCTGGAACTGAGTCACCCAGTCTAACACATTCATAGGTCGGAAATGAAGGTTCCAGAATGAGCAACGTCCTTCTTAAATAGTTAGAGATCAGCAGAACTGTGGCTTACCCCAAGTTTCTTTCTTCTCTCCCATGTTTCTTTGCACTATGCCACAGCTAGGGTGACCGAATTTCCCTAATAATCCTTTCATCTTACTATTATGTGCAAACAGCAGCCAACTCTTGGAGTGAGATAGCAAAGAAATTTAATGGCATGCACACCCTCTGTCCCCAGACTGTGCTGTGCAGTAAACTTCTTTCCACCTCCAGTTACAGAAGGAGCCCAAAGTCCTCGGAGGAGATGCTAAGGAGGGAAAATTTAGCTTTTGAAAAAAAATCTATTAGAAGCACACTGCAGATTAAGGAGCGTGCCAGCCCATTATGGTCACAGGAGGCTGATGAGAGTCCTTAAAGGAAAGGGAGAAGTGGACCTCTGTTGCTTTTACATGCTCAGCATTAATCCCGCCTTGAACATCTCAATTTTCCTTCAGGGCATCACCCTTCCCCTACTTCTCAGCTGCATGGTTTCAGCAAGACTGACTCTGCAGTAATTTCAGGGCTGGGAAAATGAGCAAGACATGGCCATGGTGACTAATTCAGGGATGGCAGATCTGTCCAGAGTCGTAGTTAGTCACTCTAGCAAGTTGAGAGCAAAAAGTGATTTAGTAAAGCTCTTGGATGGACCAGAGTGAGATTCCCAACCTCAGCACTGTTCCAGCAAAGCCTAACTGCTGCTTCCACTGGATCAGAACCCAGAGTAAAAGCTGTTGATGTTGGGGAGCAAACATCAGAGTCTCAGCAGTTGTTTGCCCTAAACTCAGATGCCTTCACTGGTCACTGAAAAATGGATCTTCCATGCTGCCTGCTTCCTCGCGTGTCTCTTTTCCAAATTGAAGCCACATGTGGGTCTTATTGGCAGAGTCTATGTCACATGACTGTATCTTGGCTGCAAGGGAGGCCTGGACAGACAGTGTCTGGCTGTTCCCTTGGATAGGTAAGCATCCCACTGCCCCCTAAATAGGAAGGGTATTTGAGAACGCTAAGTTGCCGAAAACCATGATGAATGTCCACAGAAAATAAGCACAAACTCCAAGCTGAGCTGACAAGAGCCAATCCTGGCATCTGGCTGCCATCCCTAGAAAAGTAGAATTCTCTTTCCTCTGGGGTTATTTGTATGGTTAGAATATAAACCTGGATTTTCTGGCGGACATCTTGGCCATGACATAAGAATCTGCCTAGGAATTAGGTCAACACAGAAGAAAACAGAGTCTAGAGATAGAGAAAGAAACGATCCTGATGAAATTATTTAAGTTCCCTGTTGCAGCTGTCCTCAAAGTTAGAAACACCTAGACTTTTTTTCAGTGCCATGAACTAATAAACTCATTTTTCTCTTCTTACGCTGTCTTTAGTTGGCTTTCTGTTACTTGCCGCCAAGAGTCTTGACTAAAGGCTTTATGTGCCTTTGGCTAGTTCCATAGTTCCATTCCACTATGACCGGGTTGGCAGAGGCTACTCCAGCTCTAAGTGGCAGGAGAATTCCCTGTGTGATGTCTTTCATAACGCAACACTTACAGGGAAAAGTCTAAGACCCATAGACTGGTCACCATGGTAGGCCCTGGAGGATCTGGACCCAACAGCTGCCCTAGTTCACCTAGTAGTAGAAGAACCTACCCTAGCTCTTCGACTACTACTAGTACTAGTTCTATTAGCTAATTCTACTAGTACAACAGTACTAGCAATAGTAGTAGTAGAACTAGTACTAACAGTAGTTGAAGACCTAGGATAGGTTCTCTTACTCCAACCAACCCAACACCACCAAACTGCTGGCGGCTGTTGAACATATTGCTTCATGCTTTCCTGACTTTACTAATGCTGATCCCTGGGCCTAGAATGCCCTTCACCAGTCATCCCATCACTCTCTCACCTCCTCACATACATGTATTCTTCTCTGTTTGGAAAATTTTGATTCAACTCTCAAACCAAAACTTGGATCGCACCTCCTCCCCTTTCATGACAACGTAGACACATGCGAGGATCACACAACTTAAAAGTGACAGCAAAGGAGCCTCAAGAGCAAACTGTGGGGAGGGTCTAAGACTATGTAAGGAGCAAGTCCTAGCAATAGCAAAAGTGCATTTCAGTCCCACATTTAAAATGCTTTTGTTTCAAAATTTAATAGGAAGCACTATGTAGTAGAAGTTAACTTTATTTTTTTTCTACTGGCAAGAATAAATAAAAAGAGATTATACCTTTTTTTTTTTTTTTTTTTTTGAGACAGGGTCTCCCTCTGTTGCCCATGCTGAAGTGCAGTCTTGGCTCACTGCGACCTCTGCCTCTTGGGTTCAAGCAATTCTTAGTGCCTCAGCCTCTTGAGTAGCTGGGACTACAGGCACGCGCCACCATGCCCAGCTAGGTTTTGTATTTTTAGTAGAGACAGGATTTCACCATGCTGGCCAGGCTGGTCTCAAACTCCTGGCCTCAAGTTATCTGCCCGCCTCAGCCTCCCCAAGTGCTGGGATTACAAGCATGAGTCACTGCACCTGGTCAGAATAGATCTACGTTCTAATGATTTGGAAAAAAAAAAAAAAAAAAGTGCTGGGTGCAGTGGCTCATGTCTGTAATCCTAGCTCTTTGGGAGGCCGAGACAGGCAGATCCCCTGAGGTCAGGAGTTCAAGGCCAGCCTGACCAACGTGGAGAAACCCTGTCTCTACCAAAGGTACAACAATTAGCTGGGTGTGGTGGCACATGCCTGTAATCCCAGCTACTCGGGAGGCTGAGGCAGGAGAATTGCTTGAACCCAGGAAGGGGAGGTTGCAGTGGGCTGAGATTACACCACTGCACTTCACCCTGGGCTACAAGAGTGAAACTGTGTCTCAAAAAAAAAAAAAAGCAAGCATCACTCACCTTTAACGTACTGGTCCCATTGTTTTCTGTAGTCTAAGTCCATGTAGATGTCTGCCAGTAGAGTTGGTGAGCAGTCCTCCAGAACACCAAAGACTTTATATTCATAAAGTCCAGTCTTCTATAAAAACAGGTAGAAATGTCTATTGGTTCCCAAGTTGAGAGAAAGCTGGATTCCACATCATATGAAAAGCAGCTGATGATGGAGTTCATGCCACGCCAAACACTGACCTCCTCTGTGGTCTTGGTGACACAATGGTAAAAAAGCAGGTGCAGGCCCTACCCTCAGGGATCTTAAATTCAGGTAGGCAGCAGTGCTAGAGATAGCTATAAGTGCCATCCAGGTAATTTAAATAGGGTAAGAAGAGTTGTGTGATAAATGGTGTCTTGCAAGGGCAGGGATGGGGAGGACATCTATGTAATCAGGTGATCAGGAAAGGCCTCTATGAGAGTTAACATTTATCAGAGCATCTTGTTCCAAATGCTAGAAGAAGCCAGCCATAGGAAGATAGGAAAAGCCCGTTCCTGGTAGAAGGAAGGTCCTCGGATTGATGGGTTGGCATCTTTAAACAACCTGGGGTCTGGAGAACTCTGGATAAAAGAGAGAGTGGCAGAAGCTGAGTTTACAGAGGTTGTCAGGGCTGGACCCCAAGGACTTTGGAAACCAGGGTAAGAGGTAAAGATTTTATTCTCATTGCTATGGAAAACTAATGGATGGCTTTAAACAGAGGGATGACCAGATCTGATTCAGAATTCAGTTTAAGAATGACCCAATCAAATTAATTTTTTAAAGGTGATTCTTGCTGCTTGGTAGAAAATAGATCATAAGAGAACAAGGAGATGGGTGAGAAGACCAGTGCAATAGTTCAGATAAGAGATGATGGTGATTTGAACAGGGAGGTAACAACAGTGATGGCGAGGAGTCAGTGATTTAAGGATACATTTTGGAGGTAAAGTAAAAAGGAATTGTTGATAGATCCCGGGGAAAGGGAAAGCAAAGAATCGAGGATAACTTTTATAACCCAAGTTGGGCAGATGGGAATGCCATCTTCTAAGATAGAAAAATCTTGGAGAAGAGGTGATTGGTGGGCTTTGGGCGTAATTAAGAGTTCTCTTCTGAACAAGTTGAGGTTAAGATGTTTATTAAGCATCCAAGTAAGGGTGTCACATAGGCAGCTACAGTTCTCGGGAGAGGTTAAATTTAAATAGCCATGTGGCATAGTGAAACCCAACACATTGTTTTATCAATTCCAAGACAGAATCTTTCAACAACTGCTTCTTTTTGATTCTGCATAAAAGACTGAAAATGAAAAACAAAAGAAATCTGCTTCAAATCATGTAAGTTCCTTTTATCTGGAAAAAGACCTTTCTAGATTCTAAATGATAAGAGAGTTCCTTGTTTTCTTGGTAAGCCATGTGCTTGTCCATGAGGGTCCTGGCCTAGAGTTGCCCCAGCACACATTTCACTCTCTGTACAGGGGCAACTTACAATTCCTGACCCTCAGCTCTGCCTAAAGGCTCTATTATTAAAATTAAAGCAATGGCTGTTAGATTAATTTCAACACAAAGGCAAATAAACAAATGAACAAACATGAACTTTTGGATGAACTCTCGCATCCATGTGCTAAGGCCGTGTTACTGGTTAATCATGCACAAATGAAGCCCTCTCCTTAAACGCTGTGCCATGGACTAAGGGGAAGTCAAGGAATAAACATGCTGAATCTTTCTAGAGATACTGAAGCTTTAAGGGTCATCTGGGTTGGGTGGTATAACCTAGGGATAAATACATCCCGGTTTAGGAATCTTAGATGTATGTGAAAGTACCTGGCAAAAAATGAACGTAAAATTGAAATGGAATCCATAAGAATCTTCCAGCTCTAAAAGCATGCGATTTTATACCAAGAATTTCCAACCAGCAAATATCAAACTAGTCTATGTGAACCCCTTATGTGTCATGCCATGGATGCCCCAGCAGAAGGGCAGACCTCAGGGTCCAATGAGAAATGTCAGGAAGATAAACATCTTATCTCTCTTGCCCTCTCCCCTCACACACACACAAGAGAACTTAGTAAGGATTTATATATACCCACACATTTACACTTATACACACTTGTTTTCATCAATACGCTTTAGAAGGGAGACAACCAGCAATTATTCAAGAATACTGAGGCCTTGTTTCTACACATTCTAAGCAAAAATAATTCTTATGTGTTAAGATAATGACCTCCTCAACCTTTAAATAAGTTAGCATTGGACATCTGCATAAATTAAGACACACTGTTCCCTTAAACTGGTTCCCTTCTTCTCCTAAATGTAGTTACAACCCTTAGTGACTTCCATCCTGTTATATGGCACAGAAAAAAAGAACAGAAAGTTCTCGAGGAAGAGAAAAATAGAACAACCATGATTTGCGTGAATACAGAAGAATGAACTATTGTGACAACTTCCTTTAAACATTCCCTTTGAGGCAGGACTGAGCAATGCCAGAGCTCCAGAGGAACCAAATGCTCAATAACACGGCAACACCTTTCCTACTTCATTAATACAATGTTCAAGTGCTGGACAGCCTGGTCCGCATTCTCCAATCAAAGCATTTTCTCACCCATTATGTCTTTTTAAAAAGGATCTTAGCAACCACACTCATTTTTACTTCACATTTTAAAAAACAGAGTTTTTATAATTAAAAAGATTATAAAAATGACAAAAAGAATTTTTTAAAAGTGACATGTAACCCCATAATCCAAAAATATCTACTGATAATATTTGACATATTTCCTTTAAGTAAATAAATATATCTGTAAGTTATCAAATGGGAATCATATGGTATAAATAGTTTGTACTCCTATTTTTAACTAAATATTATACTGAGGTTATGAAGACTCCATACCTAACTCAATTATTCTCCAAAAAATATTTGTTTCCAAATATTTTTATGAAAAAAAAAGTCCAGAATATTCATGTTTGTGTAGAATACTTGGTCCATAATTCTTTTTTTTTTTTTTTTTTTTTTTTTACTACAAATGTTTTCTTAGGGATAAATTTTAGGTTAAGTAGATAAACATTTTAGGTCTCTTTTTACAAACCTTGCAGAATATGTGTACCAAGTGTGTACTCTCACCAGTTCCAAAGGAGCATCTCACCAGCATTGGGTGCCGTTGATTATACAAACAATTTGATATGAAAAAGCAAAACATATTTGGCAAAGCTTTTATTGCTAGTATAATAAGATCTGATGTGTAAGATCTCTTTAAAATTAGAGATATAAATCCTTTGCAACATCGGCTTTATTTTTCCAAGCTTACTAACATTTGAATAAATGACTCCAAAGAAGTTTACTCAAGAGATTCTTGGCTTTTCCTGAAGCTCCTCCAGAAAACCACCTCTAACAGTGGCTCAATTTCCTTATCTAGACTAAAATATACTGGATACTTTTCTAATGCTCCAGTTATAAGACATTTAGTTTCCTACAATTCAAATAGTAAAAGGGTTATGTTGGTAGTAGAGAATTAGCCAGTATCATGTACAGAATACAACTGCCAGAAGAAACGTAAGACTTGATGTGGTAAACACTCCTTCTCTTTATTAAGAGAACCCCTGTGGCAATGTAAACAGCCAACAACTTCCCTGGCCTCCTCTGCAGGGAGAGGTAGACATGTGACTTCTCCCTGTTTTAAATGTGGACATGATGGTGGGAGCTGCCGCAACTATCCTATGACCAAGAGGCAATCAACATGAGAAATCGAGTAGAAAGACTCAGAGGGTTGCTGGCATCACTGATTGCTAAACCAATGACAGCAACTCTACCAATAGGTAGAACTCTCACCTATTTATTAGGTAAGATAAACGTGCCTCTGTTTGTCATTGATTGTCCAATTTTCTATTACTTGTAGCTAAAAACAATCCTAATTGACATAGTGGTCCTTATCAGCAATGCCGAATTTTATTTGAACCCTGCCATCCTAGATTACAGTGAAGGTTAAGAAATCCCCCACCTTTTGTGTTTCATAAAGTTTACCGCAGAGATCCACTACCCTTCCCTGTATGACTTAGATAAGACTCATGGATGCCCCCATTTACCTACAACAAGGCCAGACACAGACCCTCCAAATTTCTCTTTCTTTGTCTTATAAATGATTAGCTGAGCTGCCCACCCCCACTGATCAACCAGAACAAAATGCTTGTTAACCCAACTGGCTGAACTTTTCTCCTTCCTCTAGGCCCCTGAACTTTGGCCTATCCTAAACCAGAGCCAGCATACAGTCCCTCCTGAAAACAGGCTGGGCTTAGGGCAAAGTATTCGCTGATCTGCTATCCGATCACACCATCCTTTCATCCCACATCCCCGCATACGGTTCTTTCTAACGTTCTTTGCTCGTGGTTATAAAAGAACAGCTCTGCAACCCCCAAGATGCCTGCAGAGCTTATCGGCAAAGCACTCTTCCTACTGTAATACTTCTTTCCCTAACTCCTTGAAATAACCCATTTGAACACAAGTCTCTCCTTACCAAGTCCAGATTTATTTTTAAAAATTTGACATCAAGGTAAAAAAGTAGGCTGACAGAATAGTGCTGATAAGACTTATGAATATTTATGAGAAATATAATTACACGTAAATTCATTAAAAGAGTACAGAAGTACATAAATGTTGCTAAAATGCACTGTCAAGGAAAGGAAGAGATAATGGACACTTTAATGGATATTAAATTGAGGTACAACATTTAGTTTTACACAAAGGCATACAAAACCCTACATGCCATGTTATAAAATTACTGTCTCCTGTGAATTAGTAACTCAGAAAATATATATAAATGTATATCTAATATATACTATTCTATATAAATACGTTATATATAGAATATATGTTACACATATTTATATGTATTTATATATAATATCAGCAGATATATATGTTTCTATATAATGCCAGTAGGTCTATATATTTTTATATATACCTGCTACAGTAGACAGAGTGAATACCTGCTGGTATTCACTACATCTTGATCCCAAGAAGAAATCAAGCAGAGGCTTCTACTTGACTGCAGATTGGATTCTGTTTCCCTTGGTGATTTATTAGCAATACTGCAAAAGTCATGTATCTTGTATTTGAAGGAGTTTTCTAAT